ATATATATATATATATATATATATATAGGAAATCGAGACAGAGAGAGATTTAGTTGCAAACAACGAATTTGCCCATCTTTCGTAATGGCATTGACCCAAGTGCTGTTCCATTCTATACACTAACACCTCACTGTTCAGAACCTGAATGTGTATTGGTGCAAATTTGCCAGGGCAATCTTCTCTCAAAATCATTTTTCTTACATTTGATTCTCACATACGTTTCAAGGTCAGGCAAAACTAGCTCAGACTCACTCTGGCTGTCCTCAAACTCCTGGCTAGAAGGCTTATAGTCCTTTCCTCTCCAAACCACAATCTGCTCCTTCTCAAATGTCACAAGAATACAAGGAACCAGATCCTGCACCAACAACCCAAAGAACTCCTTATCAAATTACACATTTGCTTTTCAAATATATAACTTACTTCACAGAAAAACAAAGGAAATATACAATTCGATTTTAGAGGCCAAACAATGGAAACATATTATCACGTTCAGCCAAGTAAGTTCAGACCAAAGTAAATGTCTAGTGCAAGTTTTCGAGTGCAATTCATTGGAGAAGGTCAAGATTATGTTGGAGAGTTGGGACCAAAGCTTTCACAGTTCAAAAACCATGTCAAATGGGATGATGTGATGATGTTGGACCAAGTTTCTAAGTGTCAGTAGTTTATTAATCAAGAGTCGAATTTTCACCTGTCCCTAATTATAAATTTAACAGTGTTATATTTATGCATAGATCGGATCAAGTATCATATAGTATGTACAACAATTACACAACACTGAAACTATCCTTTACTCTTTTTTTTTCTTTTTTCTTTTTGAGAAGTTGATTTTATTAATGAAAACAATGATCCATCTCTAGAAAGAACCAAAGCACTGAAAAGATGTCATATTTAGCAGCTTCAAGACTAAAAGGAAATTGATAGCTGAACTATGGAAGGTTGATTGCAATTCTAACACCCCAATAAAGCTTTGTCTCCTGCCATGGTCGTGTCAGAGACCCTCCAAAATTGCCGAGAACAACGTAAGTGTAATCCCTCAAGAATATCTCACGACAAATCCATAAGCATCTAAATAATAAGTGACAATTTTATGGGATTCTTACTTTATCGAATTAGTCCAAACTTTCATTGTAAGTTATAATTTATAAAATATATCATACAACATTTGAAGCATATAAAATAGTTCACTATCTAATAAAGGAAGAAGTTTATATAAGGCTGTAACCCTACTTATAGAAGTAAGGTTGCAGAAATCTACATCGGCACAATGACTTTTTACTTCTAGCAGGAAGGTTGCCGCTTTATATAAACAGTCAATCTCTAATACATTTGTGCTAAATTTCATAATATGAGGTAAACTAATTATGAAAATAAGGTCTAACAATTCCAAAGTTTATTTCCTGGAATTTCACTATTTCAGTAGTTTTTTACATCTTATTCTATGCATCATTGCATTTATAATGAAATAAACCCAGAGTTTACACACCCTCAGCTTGACGCCTATCTTTTTATAGTCACTCCTTCCCAGGCCCTGGCAATCAATACGGACCAGCTCATCAGTTAGGAATGCATCGCGGACCATGGACACAAGATGGCAATAGACCCCATTTTTGGCTGCAATGACAGTCCATAAGAATCAGAATTCTAAAAGCAAAGACTCTAAACAATAAGAAAATTTAAGTAGCCCTGAAAATCTCACCAAGCTTTGTTAAAACGGGAGCGGCGAGGCCCCTCTTCCTCATTTCCTTTGTTTCTTCAATGGACAAGCCCTCAATTGTTGTCTTGATCAACCTCGGATATACTGGCTCATGAGGTTTCCATAGCATTAATGGAATAACAGGTCTTTTCTTGGGGATATAGTTTCTGCCTCTGTATAAGATGATGACACCACCGTGTCTATGGATGATCAGACCACCTGTTTTTTCCTAAAAGAAAAATAAGAATCAAAGATAGATTCATCAGCAGATAAGTAAATGTCAACCTGGGGCAGGATTAGCAAGAAGAGTAAAGAATCAGTACACCAATTGGCATGATAAAGTAAAATGAAACACAAGGAAATACAATTAATAGTAAATGAACAAGCTTTGACAATACTCATAACAATAAGAACACATATAAAACAAGTTGCTTTAAAAATCAAACCTGGAGTATCTTCCTTGTGCTGATACTCAATGCACTCATGTGCCACCAAGCACCATTAATTTAGTTCACAAATAATAGTCCCTTGGATGGGGAAATGACATCATCCGACATTCTTCTCAATAGGGGGTTTAGAATTTTGTGTATGCACTACACCAACTTTTTTTTTCTCCCGCTAGGTTCAACACTGCCTGCCAACTAGTTTCTCTAAAATCCTTCATATAGTCAGTTTCTCTATTTTAACTGTGAAAATTCTTTTCATCTTTTGAATTTGCTACAGTGCCTACAGGACAAGCTTTAGCCTTAAAGAAGTTCATTGAACATCTACAAATACATCTCCTTTGAGAGGGTAAAATTAAGGTCGTACATGTTCCTTTTCACACTAGTAGTGGAAGCATTTGGCAAATTTGTCAGTATAACGGGTAGCTTGGGGCTGATTGAAGGCTTCAAGGCCAGCCTTAATGATGCATTTGTCACTAAGTTTGGAAATAATACTTTGACGTTTTGTGATAACATTTCAGTACAAGATGAGAACCTAGAGAGAGTGTACCAAGGCAAGAGATGAGGGTTACCGCATCTAGATCCTCACCGGCAGACCTGGCAAAGAAACTAGGTTTTAGAAAAGGATTCCAGACAAAGTTTAGGCATAACATTTTGCACTAGAAACCAAACAAAATGCATGGATTATGGAGAGCTTTACAAGCAGAGATTAACCTTGAATCCTATCCTTGACAGAAGGATGAGCAAAATTAATCGACTTTTGTGTACCATCCAGGCGAATAACATGCCCTTGTTCCATATCCCGATCTTGGTGGCTAGGAAGCTAGGAGAGATTCAAATAGAATTTCAATGGAGAGGTAACAACTACAAGGGAAGGTTCACATGATGAGGTAGGAAGTGAGAGAGTAGACTTGGGAATCAAGCATATTGGATAATCATTCAAATCCAGCATTTCACAACTATTGCATCCACACATGAACAGACAAAATAAATAGACATTAATGTGCAATGGGGTCATGGAAGAAAACAAAGTTCTTGCATAAATATGCGATATTAGCTGCAAAACCCATTACAAAAATATGCTGTCCCACACAAGGCCTATCACACACCTAGTCAACAATAAACAGAAGAAATGCAAGGAATTCCACATTTGCAGTTAAACACAAATCTAAAAAAATGATACATTCAAGAACTTTTGGAGTGAAGCGTTCAGGTCAATTATGTGCAATGACCTAAGGAAAACATTAAAAAATTTCATTGAAAAAAAAAGTCGTTAAACAGTTAAAATTTCAGCTCATTTGAGAGACTTCATTTACAACAATTCAATTTTTGGATAGGCAACAGAGTTATTACTCTAATAATGACATATACAAGGTTTTGATAAACTCGTGAAAACCACCATTTCATACAAACATTGAGTCTGCTGAAAATTGTATGACCCATTTCTCAAGCTTTCTCAAACTTTCTCGAACTAGATGAATATCAGAGAGATTAAGGACCAAAAGAAACAGAGGAAGAGTAATACCTCAAGCTGAGTGCAGACATTTTTCATATCAATGGTAGGAACACCAAGACATTTTATCCGAACAGCCTCAGCATGCTTCCAGTGATTGTGAATATCATTCAGCATGTTATGGGTCAGACCATCTCTTCCTATTATGAATCAAACCAAAAGTTAAAAAATCCCAACACATCCTGTCACTGATATTGTTCAAAATTTCAACTTTGTCACAATTTCATGTCTCTCATTCACTCATGGTCTCTCTCTGTGATATGGTTCAAAATTTTGACTTTGCAACAATTTCATTCTCTCATTCACTCATGGTCCATTCTCTCTCTCTCTCT